TAGGAATTTTTTGAACTATTGCAACCCAATAGCGATAATTAAGTAAAAAATTATAGGGGGAAGACAGAGTTAGAGCTTGGGACATTCAGTTCAGAAGTTTAGAGCTCAACCTTTTTTTAACCTCAGGTGATCCAAAGGCAGCACTTTTTTTCCATTTCATATCCAATTATAGCATGATATAATCATGGGAAGGATTAATTAAAATAGTGCCGGAAATGCCGAGAAATGAAACTTATTCAAAAAACCACAATTATATTACATCAATTAGATTGAAATGAATGTAAGAAATTAGGCTATAAACGAAAGAAAAGTTTTTGGCTATAATTTGATTAGTATTTCTTCTCTCAATTAGGCTTTAAATATTTGTAACGATACTTGAATTTAATTGCTAGAATGGAAAAGATGCTGTAAAGAAATATGGATATGAGTCTCATTTGGTATATAAAATATAAGTGAAGATATGTGGAGAAAGTATTGAGGATTTATTGGACAATTGATGAGCACAGGACAATGCAAAAAAAATCTACAAACATTTATACGTATTGAATGGATTGTTAGATCATTGTAGAATATCGTTGAAAATCATCGATGAAAATATTCGCACTAAAAGTATTGAAATTTGAAAAATATTTTTCACGTATGTTTTAACATAAACATACAAATGTGTAAGACTGTATATTTCAAAAGTATTTATCACAATTACGCTTTGAATCATATGGGAATATTAGTATGATTGATCATTTAACCTTTGTAATTATATACCCCGAAAACTTTTAGATGCCAAAGTTAGTCAGAGTTTAAGGAAAAATGCATATATTAGAAGAAAAAAACTTTTGTCTGATTAAAAACAAAAAAAAAAAAGACATATGTCATATATAGAACACGTTATAATAGACATCAAATTAGTTTGCTAATTTTTGATAAACTCGTCGCAATTCGACCTTTTAGCTAGTAAACTTTACATAATTAATGATAGAGATCGGGAGTAAAAATATGCTTCTTATGCTAATTCTTTGATAGACATATTATCATTAAGATTTACTTAATGAAGTATTTCATTCATGGTAATATCATAATGTAATATACAAACATATACATGTAGTATACAGTTATATACAGAATTCATTGTAGATATAATAGCATCATAGATGATAATTATTCAAGTTCGATTCTACATATTTCCATCAAGTACTTTTCCGTTTTACATAACACTCATTGTTCGAATACGTCGGACACTTTGCATTTTTGGACGAGACGTTAGCGCTCGACGTATTAATAATTTCTTTCGAATGGTATGATTTAAATCTGTAAATAGTGAAAATATTTGAAATTCTTGCAAATAAAGCATGAATTTCAATCATCTACCAAAATAAAAAAAATAAACGCAATAAGGAATATTAATGGCTCCTTTTTTTAAATATATATAAAAGTTATGTTTTACTGTGACTAAAATATTTGACAAAGATTACAAACCATATGTCGCATTGATTTCTGGCAGCATTATCTTACTATATTTTAATTGCATATTTTCCTATAAGCAAAATTGAGATTCATAATTAAATTTGATATCGTAAAGCACAATGAGTTAGTGGATTTTTGTTAATTTAGTATGGGAAATGAAAATGATTGCATATTAAGATTTTATTAACCTTACTGTACAGCATGATTAATTTTAAAAGAAACACAAATTGAATTTGACAGTGAAAACTTTAAGGTATGCTTTAAAATAGCGCAATTTTCAGTGGGATTCTAAGCTTTAACCTTTAAGACTTCGAACTTTTAAGTTTAAATTTTGAGTTTTTTTAAAATTAAAAAAACTTTTTTAAAATTTTATTATAAACTGAACCATTTGTTCAATAAATTTTACTACGAAAACTTTCCTTTCGTATATATATATATTTATTCATACATTGTAATTATCATTGGAAGAAGCAGATGAGAAGATTCCCAAAGTAGCATCATGTGTTACCACATTACGATCAGTATTCGATTGATAGTTATCGATTGTTGGTTGCAAAATTTGATCCCGAAATGTGATATTATCATTAAAAATTGGTAATGTAATAGTTAGCAACTGAAATTAGCATCAGCTTAAAGCATGTGATAAAGAGCGATAATTACAGGTTAACTTCAATGATTTTTAAAAAATTCATAACTTTTATTGTTATTTTTCATAGCATACAACTAATAGGAGTTGTAAGTAAAACATTTTTATTGTTAGCTGAAACAACAATAATAAGAAAATTAAATTTATAATTTTTTTAGCAAATAATTGTGTTAGGTTGAATAGAAGAAAATAAAAATTAATTAGCAAAAATTGTTTGAGAAAAACCTCAATATTTGGTGCTAACCATTGAAATACCATATGTCCTTGTGATCGTTGTAATAATCGTTCAACAAATAATTCCAAATTAATTGCTGCATTAATTAGACAATGTTCTAATCGTTTATATCCATTACTGTTAACAATTGATAGAAGTGTTAAACCAATGGGAAATATTATTGCGATCATTGGATTATGTTCCAAATTTGAAGGCATTACATCACCCAAACCAATTGTGGCCATTGTCATGAAACTAATTAGTGTTTGTTATGGTACATTTGATAATATCTCAAATTTTTAGCTTAATAATGGATTGTTAGAAATTGGAAAACGAAATTTTGGAAAAGTAGTCGGAAACTGGGAAATGAAATTTGTTTTACTCATTTACCTTAGTATCATAAAAATGCAACAATGACAAATTTGTCAATTTGATATCATAAATTATAGAGTAGTAAATCCTGCAGTCTCTTAAATTACTTTTATATGTACACATCGAATATTTTTAAACATTGTGAAAAGACAAATTAAATTTTAACTTGAATCTAATTCTAAAATGCAATATAAAATATCATACTGTTTGGTAGTTAATTTTACAACATGTAAAATTGCATTGGCGAAAAAGTTAGCTTACTTAATTTGTTAATTTAAAATTATTTTTCAGTGTAAGGTCGATAAAATATTTTAAACAATATAATTTGAAATATATCCACGGGTTAAAATTTAAAATCATTTATCAATATGACTAATCATCATGCAAAATTGTTGCAAAAAAAGAAAATTGAACAAAAGAGAAGAAGAGGTTGAAAAAAAAAACTGTTCGAAATTCAAAATGCAATACTATAAGTGTATTTTGGAAAAAAACAATGAAAGAGATTAAGAAACATGCAAACAATTAATGATTGTTTAAAATGAAATTTGCATATAACAAATAATGACAAACCAGAAGTAAAATGCGTCGCCAAATGTCATCTCAGATGGCCTATTACGATTTTGATCAAAGATAAGCACAATTATCGTACAAACTATCAAATAAAATGCAGTAATTGGGATGAATAATTTCATTGGAAACTCGACATTCTCAAATTATTGAATTATTTCAAACAAATGTAACATTTAAAGAATAAAAAAATATTCAATTTTAATGAAGCTAAGAAATTGCATTTTTCTTCATTAACACTTTTTTTTTCCGACCGATTTTTGCTTTTTAATTTTTACCATTTTGATGAAATAACTACTAACACGTCATTATTTCCTCTTATTTTTTCTGCATCCAAATTAATATCATCCAAATAATTCTTTTTATGATTTTCTTTACCTATTTTAAAAACAATTTATTAGTAATTCCCAAATATTCGAAATTAATTTTATCCTTAAAATTTCATCATTAAAAAAGGAAACATGAAATAGGATAAATTAATTGGATGATATAATTTTATTTAATTGAAAGTCTTTAGTAAAGGAATTTCACAAATTAATTCTATTTTAAATTTACTAAATGACAAATTTCTATATGTAATTTTGCATAATACATCAAATAACTTGAACATTTTACCATCGAATTTATTATTTATCAAATACAAAAATTAACGCTAATTAACCCACCTTATATTCGATATCATCATTCTCAATATCCGATATTTTACGATTTCGAAGTCTTGAATTCCTGAAATATCGAATAAAAATTCAACAAAACTAAAATTCTTGTCCTGACTTGTTAAAATTTAATATTAAGAGGGAAACTCATCGATATTCGATATTTTGGCGCGAAAAAATATAATGCAATTAATATTTTTTAAAAAAAAGTATAAAACTGATAAGATATTTTGATGAAAAAATATTTTGGCAACAAAAAAAATTCATATTTAAAAATTTTTAAATTATTAAAATAAAATATTATTACAAAACTCACAAAATTACACTATTATATCAATATTTTCATATTCTAGGATTATATATTCTTGCATTTTTATAGCTCGTTTATTTAAGCTAATTAATTGTTCAATTTATTTAATTATCAAATCAATTCGTGGTTAATGATATGATACATATGTAAACAATTAACACTAAATGAATGATGAATTAGCTGTTTAATGATAATTCACGGGAATATTA